CTGCAAATGTGGCTTCTTGGAACAAATACACATCATTCATTAGGCACTGGGACCAGGGTTAGTTGGATTGGTGAATTGAGAGAAAGCCTTCCCTGTAGCATTTGCTTTTCGGTCTCCTCTGTTCAGACTGCAACCAATGATGATGCCCTTTTGGTCCAGGACCCTTTGGTTAGCCCCTAAATCTAGAGCTCACCACGTTTCTGTCTTGTGGTGCTCAAGGTCATTAACTAGCTAATTAAATTATCTTGACTGAGAACTCTTCCAAAGACAGAATCCTTCTGTAAATGCTGAATCCAGAGGCCAGGATGGGGATTTTAGTTGACAAAAAAAATTTCTGGGGGGAATGTTTAAAGTAGACAGACTTGGTGCCACTCAAATCTCCCCGAGTGACCGTCCTCCTTTCCATCTCCATGTCACAAAAGCCCCGCTGGAAGATCAGGTGTGGAGACCCAAGTCTCTAATTTTCTCAAGAATAAGTTCTATTTGGGGGTCTGTTACATATTTTTGAGCACCTTCTATGTGCTAAGTTCTTTTCTAGGCAGTAAATTCAGTGGGGAACAGGACAAGTGCATGGGAGGTCTGTGCTACTGGAGATTTTCCCTCCATGTTCCTCCCATCGGATGATCCCGTAGCTTGTTGACCACTTAGGAAGATACCTTTGAAAAGATCAAGTATGTGGCTCGGGAGGAAAAAAAAGATTAAGTGGGGAAAAAAGAAGGATATTAGTTTTGAACTGCTTATTTAGAATTACCAGTTTCAATCAATGACAATTTTAAGATATTAAATGCATTCCAGAGTGACTTGTCACATAAAAAAAGAAAAGGTGCCATTGCTGATATTCTCCCAGGTCCTTCTAATAAGATCAGGGCCTGTGATGGGAAATAAGCTGGAAGATGAATAGGATGTCAGAATGCAATTGAGTTCCAAGGATTTTCCACAAGTTCCCCAGTCAACATGGAGCGAACGAGTTTGTTCTGAGATGATGGGTACCGGTGCCTTTGTTGAAATTAGCCCAGGAAATGAATGCTTTCTCATCATGCGAAACAGTGTCTGGCCATCTTTTCGTAACTAATTGAAAAGCATCACTTGGCATTTTCCTCCGAGTTAAGTTAAAGAAAGAGGTTGCTCCAGGAATGCTCTTGCTCTTTTGATTCTACATCCATTTTTATCCCATCAAGAAGTCTCTATAGATCATTCTATGGTCCAAATGAAATCAAATTCAGCTCCACAAATTACTAGTTGTGTTATTTCCGGCGAAAGAAAAAAAAAACTTCTCTAAGCCTCAGTTTCCTCAACTGCAGAATAGGGATAATAGTATCAAGGCAAATAATAATAGCAAACATTGATAAAGTGATTATTTCTCCATTGAGCACTGCCTCATTGGATGTTCATAGTTCCAAAAAGCTAAATATGTTACCTGTATTGATAGTATTACTTACAGATTACCTGTATTATCAAGAATCATGATTGTAGTTTAGAAATTGCTAGAGGTAAAATATTATGAATATAGTTTTAAGTACAAATGGCTGTACAACTTTGATGTCAATCATCACTGCTATGGAGTGAGCATTAGTAGTAGGTTCTTCTGCATTCAACAGGCAGATAGTGCTCCCTCCAACTTCCACAGAGTCCTCTTCCACAGAGTAGGAAAATAAGTTATATCAGTCATCTTCGTGTAGCTATAATGAAATAACTGAGGTAATTAACATACAAAGAGAAAAGGTTTATTTTAGCTCAGAGTTTTGGAGATTCCAGTTCAAGATTGAGCCATACCAACACTTTGGACCTCTGGCAAGGGTAGCACATTATGGCAGAAGCACATGGAAGGAAACGGCTTATTTCCTGATCCAAGGGCCAAAAAAAAAAAAGAAGAAAGGAAGAGACTAGGATTCTACAATCCCCTTTGAGGGCACATGCCCTAGTTTTAAAACCTACTGATAGGACCCCCATCCTACAATTTCCACTATTTCCCCATAGTGTCCCTCCAGGTATCAAGTCTTGAATACACAAACCTTCGGGGGACATTTAACATTCAAATTATAGCATCAGGCATTTAATTGACTAAAAATATGTAGTTGTGTCTGGCCCATTTTGTGTTGCTATAACAAAATACTTTGGACTTGGAACTTTATAAGGAAATGGAGTTTATTTAGCTCACACAGTGGCAATCTAAGAGTATTGCAATGGCATCGATTTCTGGTGAGGGACCAGGCTCACTCTTACAAGAGCCTGCTCTGGAGGGAACCTAATCCACTCTGAGAAACCAGCATCCATCATTCTATGAGAGCAGGTCCCCATGATCTGATCATTTCTCCAACATCCTGCCACCTCAAAACCATACTTTGAGGAGCAAGCTTCCAGTACACAAAACATTGGGGGTCAGACCATATCCAAACAAATACCTATTAAAATGAATGTGTCGATTTATTTATATGCAATAGTGATTCCTTGTTGAATGAAAGAGAGAGACGGTATTTCCGTATGCCCTGATTCTGTGACCTGTTCTCTGGTTTGTTCTGGAAGTTTCCAGCCTAGCAGAGCCCAGGAATACAAGCATTTCCTCTTGTGCATTGTTCCTGGTGCAGCCTGCCCACACCTCAGCCCTGCAGAGAGCTTGCTCTTCCTGAAGAAGAAAGGAAAGAAGCCCTTCCACTAGGCTCCTGCCCGACAGCGGTCTCCTTTGTCCATGGCTGCTGGCCTCGGGTCTTTTCTTTGTTCTACTCTTCTTATGGGATCCATGGTCACCAGTAAAATTTGCTTGTAGCTTCCCTAACCATAGTCTGATGGTTCTAGCCACTTTGCTCCTGGTTACGATTCAATCCAGACTCCTGATGACCTCCATCCTGCCTTGCCCCTGTCCAACCTGCAGAAGGGCCACTCATGGTACTATGAACCTCCTTGCAGGGAGGTAATTTGGTCTTTTAGATATTTTGGATCATATGGGCTGGTTAGGATAGTGAGGGTGGGAGCTAAAAAATAGATCTCTGAGCATTTAGTGATGTCTAGTCATTCTATTTGGTTTGGGCATAAATTATTGTAGCAAGAAAGATGGCTTCAGATGGTGCTGACTGGGAAAGGCTTGGTGGACTACTTCCCGGGCTTCACCTGGTCCCTGGATTCCCCTTTATCATCTTTAAAATCATCCATTAATTGTAGGCATCTGCAAGAAACGTTTTATGAGCACCTACTGTGTGCTGGGTAATGTGGCTGCTGAGAAGAAAGAGTCTCTGGTTGTTGCTCACAGTCTAAGTGGGGGAGACAGACAAGTAAGTTAGTGAGGAGATTAAAGGCCATGAGTCATAGAGTTGGTAGTTGTTTTTCAAATTGCACAAGAAGCACCTGTTTTCTACTACAGGGGTAGTTGAGCACCAGAGGAAACCTTTCTAGGCACAGTTGCAATGTACTGAATCAGAAGAGTCCGGGATGAACTAATTAGGGGAAGAAGCAGGGGCAGTTGTGTTTGGACACCAAGCAGACTGTGCTCAAATGCTGTCTCCACCACACGTGAACTGTGTCATTCTGGACAAATGACTGATTCTCTCAAAATGTAGTTTCCTGAGCTCCACTATAGATTAGCCTTTTTGTTTTTTCATGGATTTTTCTGAAAATTAGCAAACTATTTTTAAGCGCTAAACTCAATGTATTCAATAATGAGCAGCTAATTGATACATGGAGACTCTTGTTATATGTTACGAATTTATCAAGGAACGACTCAATGATAATTGAAACTTGAGCATGATCCATTGCACATACAAAAGACTTTCTGCTTAACTGCTGTTTGCAGTGGTGTACAAGATGAGGAAACAGAGGGAAAGCCATGCAATGTGGATGGTTAGGCAGAAAGTTTGTTGAAGGCCTTGTGTCTTGGCACACACAGGGTGTTCTCGAAGGGGGTGGAGCCGCTGAGGGCTGGCCACTTTTCAGTAAAGGTTATGTGGAAGCAACTAGATACCCCAAGATGATGTGGTCCTCCTTACTGTGGACTGTCTGATCTCTGTCTGCACAGCCTTGGTTCATTTACCACCTGGCTGCAGAAAATAGAAAGCCAGGCACCACTTGGCTTCTGAAGAATTCTCAGCAATTTTTCAGAAGAGTAAAACATTCTCTGTGAAATTCTTGGAGATTTCTCCCCTTCACTCTGAAATGCCCTGAATTTCAAGCAGCTCTAATGTTGCTGACTCATATCTCGTTTCATAAGAATCTGGGTTGACTTGTCATCTGTTATAAATCTCTAGTTTACGGAATCTCTCCTGCTGGAAGGTGGACCAGGAAGTCTGTCAAAGGGATTCGAGGTGGGCTAAACAGAAGTTGAGGTTACAAGCGTCCAGGGATTTTGCTCACTTTTTCTGGTTTTTCTTTTTGTTTTGTTTTGTTTTTTAGTGAAAGGAGATCTTGAATGTTTTTACAGAAGGTCATTATTTAACTTTTGCTTGAGGAAATGTCAAGAGGTGGACTTCAAAGACATATGTCCATGTAAGGCTGATGGTATTTAACGTAAATTTCCCAGGGTTTTTTTTTTTTTTTTTTGAAAGCTTTACAGAATCTCTCCCTATCTCTCTATCATTCATGGAAAGAGCATGTTGACAGGCGGCACATTTTCTCTTTTTAGGATTTTACTGTGACTTTCTCTACCAAGGATAGGGACCACAAGCTTCTCTGGGAAACTGGATACCCAGGCTTCAGTGTTGAACAGGAAATGAACAGATATGGCAAAGTACAGAAAGAGAAAAAAAAAAAGAGTCTGGACTGAAGATAAATATGACTTATGTCACAGTTTTGTTTTGTTTTCCCAGGAATCATCTCTATTGACAAAGCCTACAGAGTAAACACCGCGGGACCCAACTCTGAGTTCGCAAGCCAATTTAAATCAGGGCAACTCTTTTCGGTGGAGAATAAATTTGCCTATGCCTTTGGACAGGTTTCTCAGTTCCCTGAGAATACACAGGTGGATAGGCTAATGGATGGAGGGGGAGGGAGGGAGGGAGAGATGGAGGGACGGGACTCTGTGTATTGGCAATCCTGCCAGAAGATGTAGCTGTGGACTTCCTCCATCCTGGTATGTATTTTTTCCTTGAGGTTTTCTTTATTTTCTGAGGTTGTTGTTTGTGACAATTATACTCCCCTCTCTTTTCAGTTTAACCTTTCTTGGCCAAATCCAAGGTCAGAGAGAGCGATCTGCTACGGTCTGCCTAGTAAAATGCATGTCTCCTGATTAGGAAATTGAGCTTCTACCATTTGCCAAGCCTTGGTTGCTTACAGGGAGAGATGCTGACTCATAGAACAGGCAAGGTGATTCATATATGCAAATACATAATTTATCTACTCACACTGATTTTGTTAACAACAGGTCTGCGGCATCTGAGGAGCCATCAAGTACTCAGGTTTCATTTTGCATAATTATACAATATGCGATGATACCACCTCATGTCTCCTTATTGTTGTGTCATCACTTTCCCTCTGTAGAGATGGAGCTTTATGAAGGCAAGGGCTTCTAGGCTTTTGTTAACTGGACTTACCATCCCGCAGAATAGTGCCTAGTGTGGTAGAAACTCACTAAACGTCTGAGTAACTGGGTGACTCAACACATGGTTAGGATATCTTCTCGTCTTTGCTTCTCCTCTTGGTTTCTGCAGTTTTCTGGTATTTCCCTTGGGGAGGGCATGGAGTATCCCTACAAGGAGAGACCTTATGAGTCCTCTTCAACATCACATCAGGAGCTGGATTCCCAGGACCGATCTTTCTCACGAACATCAGCTGATTTTAAGTCAGTCTTTCTGTATTTTTTTTTCTTACTCTCTCTTTACTTCTGGCTTTGCTTATAGTAGAAACCTATTTTTAGGTTATCTTTATGTGCATACACTTATTTCTAAAATGTTATCAAACCACATTTTATGCTTTATTCTGTTCCCCGCAAACTATATTTTATTTTCTTTATACCTTCTAATTTGCTCCTCTCGTAGATAGTTCTTCCCTTCCAAGTCACTAAACAGCAATTTGCCTGAGTTTTCTTGATAGCATCTCTCTTTATTATGGTATCTTCCACAGCATCTTTCAGCACTCTTTCAACATGGGCCAGACCAAATAAGTACCTTCAATGTTCTTGGCAAGCATTAACTCCTAATGGCTTACTCCTTTTTAGTTGTCCTTTAAGTTAAGTATCCAGATAGACTTGAAGTGGGAAACAGAAGGTCACTTGAGCAAGGATCTATTTTCCTAGATAAGGAGGAGTAAGTAGTCTTCTAAAAGCTGTATCTACAAGCAGGTTCTTTCCAATGACAGTGGTGGGTTTGTCTAAAAGGGTAGATAAACAATCTTGTGAAAGAGATAGTGAAGTCATCTTTGTGTATATAACAGTACATGCAGTTTTAGACAAGTTTCAGATATAAAGGCAAAAGGGCAGAAATAAAAGAAATCAGTTATCCATATGATGAATGGTGATGAAAACAAATATCATAACAAGAAAGACTTGAATAAATTCAATGAGACCCTGCATATCGTGTTGAATAATCATAAAGACAACAAAGTCAATTAGAACTGAAGTGAAACAGGAGGGCAAAAAACATGATTAAAAAAACTCACTTAGCATCCTCCCTTTAACAGAAAAAAATACCATCAATTCCCAGTGACCAAGGACTTGTGCTTGGATCATGAACCAAATACCTCCAGAATGAGTGTCTGCAATCGCTAAGAAATACAGCTGGGCTTCACATTGTGTGCCAGCTCCAGCTGAATGGTCGTGGCTGCCTGGAACTCTGTGTTAGGAGCTTCTCAGTAGCAAGTGGTATGTGTGGGAAAATGTGCTATGATTGTCAGCAATGTCTACTTGGGCATGGCATGTGGAAGTGATAGCATGGGTTCTGTGAAATTTTCATTGTTGATTCTTGTCTAATTATTCCTTCATAGTATGCTTTATTTTTCCATATATATATATATATGGAAAATATATATATTTTTTGGTTTCTAAATTTGATGTTGTAAAATTTGTTTCTAGAAAGATTGATGTATCATAATAGCCATCTGGCTCTTGTATTGTTTGCCCAGTTGGGGCTATTACAAAATTGTACCCTATCTATCACCTCTGACAGACTTCATAGCAGAGAGCAAATATCCCCCTTGGACTGTGAAGAAACAGATTTTGATCTAAGAAAGCAAAGAGATATGCAATATAAATTCACTATTATTTTTATTAGGGAAATGATGCTAGAGACTTCAATGACTTTGCAAAGAGCTCTGTCAGTTCAGTATGCTTTCAATTGCAAACAACAGCAAACCCAGTCAACAATGGTTTAAAATTATGTGACTAAACTATTCACACCACAAGATTCAGGAAATGGGTAGTTTCTGATATTTGTTCAATTGCACAATAGCATCACAGACTGCACGCCTTTGATACCCTTGGAATGTTTCTCATGGCTACCAAATGGTAGCCACGGACCCCAGGACTACATCTCATGCCTACCTTTATGTCACAAAGCACAGGGCACGGTGAAGCATCTGTGACTTCTGCTCCTTTCATCAGTAAAGAGAAAACTTTCACGCGTGACCTGTGAACTTTATATTCTCTGTTTGGAAGATGTCCCGAGGCTCACCCTGGTTGCAGGGGAAACTGAAAAAGCTCACATGTAGCTTTCCTGGCCTCTGTGGTGAAGGAGGCCAGAGAGGAAGGCTTTGGGGGTGAGTATTGACTGATCAGCCAATCGATTTCCTCACGATCCACGTCTTTGATGAGCAGGCATTCCTGCACAGACTTTCCCCATATAGTCCAAATGAAGTCAACTCATTTGTCTTTCACAGTAAGTCCACATGTAATTTGTTTGAAAGTATAGCTTGAAATGCAGCATCGTCGGGTGAAGTACATCAGATCCAGATGTAGATTTTTCTGGTCTGGTGATAAAAGGCCAGTTGTCTGTTCCTGTCACACAGTAAAGGGACAGGAGAACAATGGCTTTCTAACTTGGAAAAAGAATGGGAATTACATACACATCATCGTTTCCGGATGCCTATAATAGCAAAGACTTTGTCCTGACAGTGGAATGAATTCTTCTATGAGGCCATTTGCCCGTTCCTGTCTTTTCTAGGTCTGCTAGGATCTGGGAGGACTCAGGAGGTCATTATGCTGATGATGTTTGCTGCCACCTCTGAAGTAGACCTAGGAGAAGATTTGCTTTTCTGAGGAAATGTATGACTTCCCTAATTTATTTCTTACTCCTGTAGGCTCATGAAGCTAACAGTCACAGGGATTTTGTTAGTAATTTTCATTTGGGTAACTGAAAGGCCACGTCGGGGTAGACGAGAGTCTCCTAGTGTCTAAGTTTTGGGATTAGTTTCTAATCACAATGCCTTGTGAAGAAATAAAAAAAAAAATATTAGGAGGGGTCTTGGATATCACAAAGCTGTGGGAAGATCAGTGGAGTAGAAGTAGGAGAATAGGAGGGAGGGAGGAAGGAAGGGAGGGGAAAGAAACATGGAATGAATGTAACAGAATTATGTTTCATACATCATCTCACCTTTATGTATATGTAGTACTGCATTGTGTTCTATTCTCACTGCTGCCTACTCCCATGTGCAGTTAGTACCCTGAGATGCCACTATGAAGTGTTAGTGATTGACACAGTACAGGGCCATTGATGATCCTTCTCCAGCTTTATTTTAACTCTTCTTTGCCTCTGCTCTACTAGCTGCTAAGGTCTGGACCTAGTTCAAGTGCCCACAAAGGTCCACTGTGATTGAAGACTCGACCCTCAGGATGGCATTGCTGGGAAGACAGGCCCTAGGTCATTAGGGGATGCCCTTGGAAGGAAGGAATTGTGACAGCTCTCTGACTTCCTTCCTGTCCGATGATGGAAGCCCTTCTACACGCATGTGCCTCTACCATGAGGTGACACAGTGGACAGGCAAGGCCTCACCAGAACCAAGGCAATGGCAGCACCATGAGTGGAACCTCACAAACCACATTCTAAATAAACCTGTTCTTCATGAGAAGGGGTGTGAGAGGTATGTCACTGTAGTGACAAAAAGTTGACTGAGACGTCGGGCATTAAGTACTTCTGGCTTATTCCTTGTTAGGGAATTACTGAAGTACATTTTCTTCAGTGTAAGGGATCCTGAGACCCACTGGAACCTTTTCCAAGGAAATGTCACTTTAGGAAAATGCTAATCAAAGCCTTTAAAAAGGACAGCATGGAGTTGTAAGGAAGTAATAAAAATAAAGAGCAAGTCAGAAATAGGTTTGTTAGAGACAAAGTATGAATTGGTTGAAAGTAGATTTGGGAGATAATTATGCTAATGTAGACCAACTGCTGTGGCTCTCCTCTCCTGTGTGTCTTGGCACAGCGCACTACCCAGGGGCATGTCCTTAAAGCCATTGACCCATCCTGGATACAAGCCAAACAAGGAAGGGTCAAGAGCAGAAGCCCAATTAATCAGGTACCACCAGTATAGGCGGGCCAGGACCCAAAGATGGAAGGTCAGCTATGACGGGGGAGCATGAAGGTGTCATAGATCTCAGAACACAGGCAGGGTCCAGAGTCTAGGAGGTTAGCAGTTTGGCAGAAATAACTCTGGTAATAAGCACTGAACTTGGACCCTAGGGCAGAAAGTACTCCATTGTATTCTATTATCACTGCTGAATGTGGATGAATTGCTGGGCATTGTCAGAAAGTCTCAAAACGATTTTTTTTTTGTGATTAAAGTCAGGAACAAGATACCCATGAGACCTTACTGAGGTTTTACTATTGGATTCTATTTTTTTTTTTTTGCTTTTTAATTTTTTACCTACTCATTTATTTATAATAATTTTGAAAGCATGCTATTATGACGATTAATAATAGCTGACATTTTGAGAAGGAATGCCTACAATAGGCTAGACATAGTTCTAAGTGTTTTACATAGAATAAGGATTAATACAATATAATAAGTGTTAACATTATATAATAGTATATACTAATATAAGGAGTATTTAACCTTTACAACAATATGATATTTTTGTCATTTTCACATTAAGGAGGGGACATATAAGCGTCCATAACCCTCAACATTCTTTACATAGGCTCTCTACTTCATCCACCCTCTTTCATCCATCTATCCAACTATCCATCCAAACATCTATCCTTCTACTCATTCATTCATTCATTCATTCAGGAAATTTGTATTCAATTTATTATTGTAGGTCCTGGGAATAAAAAAGTGAACATGTTTACGAGTAGCTATCTGCTTAGGAACTTTACAGTCCAGGAAGGGATTCAGATGGCAAAATCATCCCTTGTGATAAAGTGTGATAGGTAACAGAAGAAGATGCAAGATGCCACATGAACTTCAAAGGGGCCCTGGATGTTGTTTATCAAGAGGCAGAAAAGGTTCCCAAAAGGCATCCGAATTGACAAACAAAGGGTCACTAAGTATTCAGCGAGTAGGAGGAAATTCTGTTAAAGAACTTGGAAGGTGCACATTTCTCAATTGAAACATAAAGTGGGAAGAACAAGAGGAAAAGAGATTAGGAAAGAAAGGAAGGCAGGAAGCCAGGCTACCAAGGGCATTCTGAAGGGCTTGAATTTTATCTTAATGACACCAGGAAGCTTTTTGATGAGTGTTAAGGAGAGGAGAGACATGATTCATTTATTTTGCATTCTAGAAGCCTTGCCCTGGCTGCAGTGTGGAGGATGGACGGAATGGGGCAGGACTGAAGGCAATGTCATTTGGGAGGCAGATACAGCCTCCACGTGAGGGGGGGTTGTCGACTGAGGTGTGGCAATGGCCAGTAGGATGAAGAAAAGTGGATGACGTGGAGAGATAATGAGAGGTTCTAGATCCGCAGAACCTGCTCTTGGCCTTCCTCATGGAATGTGTGATATCGGGCATATATTGCAATTCATCTGGAGAAGACGTCACTGAGCAAGACCTCACACCATATTTCTAGTTGGGTGCCTGAGGGGTTATGGAAAACCTATGCTTCCAAAATGTACATTTTCACACATGGTAATACAGGACAAGAGAATCTCTCATTTTCATAAAAATAGGGCCCAACATTTATGGCAAAAAAAAAAAAAGTTATATTCAAGCATTAGGGAGCTTGGTTGACAGTTGAAATCTTTTTTTCTGAAGTTATCCAGCCAAGAGGAAGCTATGCTGTGAGGCATTGAAATATGGGGCTTAATGGAGAGACCTGGGGGAGCTCTTCCCAAGATAGTTATTTTGAAAGAAGGGGTAAAATAGAAAATTGCCATGCTGCCACACCAACGCCCTACCTTTCCTTCCAAGTGACCTTTGCTTTAAGGGAAGAAAGACTTGGAGCCATATTCTAAGGAAGCAAAAATGACAGTAGCATCTTGGAAGAACCCAGACTCAACCTTGATGCCCAAGCCAGGCTGTGACGGAAAACCAGAGAAGCCTCATTCCTCATCCATTTCCTAACCAGGAAGTACACGATAGAGATTCCTTTTAGGAATCATATTGCCTCCCTATTGAATTTAACTTTTTTCCAATTGAAAAGACTCATATTTTACTGCCTGTCATTTCCGCTGCTATTCAGCAGACCATTGAGAGCAGGGTTTTTTTCCGGCCTGTGGAGCACACCTTCATGGTTGTTTCGTGCCACATTCTGTATCTTACTCTTCCGTCTCTGGTGTGGCTAGCTCAGGCCTAATGATCGCACTGGCACCAGTGCTGAATCTAAGTCTCCTGTGCCTTATCTTGAAAAGAATCATCTCACATCTTCAAATGGGCATCTGGAAGAAGCCAGATGGAGGACTCCTTCTTGCCAGTCTGCCACAAGTTCTTATTCCACGGCTTGTCGTCTCCAAGGCTCTTCAAGCACAGCGACTTTTCTCCCTCCATGGTCATGGAGCAAAGTCTGACAGCAAGGTGGATCCCAGGGAGTGCCTGTGACGTCCCCGTTGGCTCTTGCCTGGAGGACTGGAACACCTGTTTTCCAACTCTCCCCCTACACTTCTGCCATGATCCTGGATATCCTCCATCCTTATCTTTCTGCCTCTGTTGTAATCCCCAAGAGTTATTAGAGACTTTTACAACCTGCCTCCTATTAGCTCTCCCTGGATTACTATGGCTCACCCAGGCTGGTCTTTCAGTTTCCTAAGTGCACCTTCCCTCTCACCTAGGACTTTCACTTGTGATTCTCACTGTATGAAAGAGCCTTCCTAGACTTCTATCTACTCTTCAGGTCTTGGCTTAATCCACATTTGCTCTGGAAACTTTCTTTACTTATCCATCCCACAAGAGTTCTCTTTCTTTCCCTTATCAAATTTCTTTTTTTAATTAATTTTTAAAATTTATCTATGACAGCAGAATGCATTACAATTGTTATTACACAAATAGAGCCCGATTTTTCATATCTCTGGTTGTATACAAGGTATATTCACACCAATTCGTGTCTTTATACACGTGCTTTGGATAATAATGTCCATCACGTTCCACCATCATTTCTCACCCCATGCCCCCTCCCTTCCCCTCCCACCCCTCTGCCCTATCCAGAGTTCATCTCAATTCTTTTTTAGGGTTGCCTGCTTGCATGTCTGTCTTCCCCACAGATTATAAGCCACTTGGAAACAAATGTATTTTTCACCTTGAAATTATCAGTGCCTAGCACAATAGCTACCATAGAGTGAGATCTTGGTAAATTCATGCCAACTCTTTAGGGTTATGGGAAAGAAATGTTTGCTTCACAACAGAAATCATCCTCGTCAATCAAGGGAAGTATCTAATATTAATTCATTCATTCGTGCTTACTCCATAAATATTTCGAGTTCTTATGAATATGCCAGGAACTATTTTGAGCACTGAGGATATGGAGATAAATATGACATATTTTTTTTCCTAAAGACATTCCACGTTTGTTTGGGTAAATAGAGAAGTAAATAGTTATGATATGGTGCATGCTATAATAAATAAATGCATAAGTTGCCATGGAACATAGAAAATTAGTGCTCACATCTTCCTGAGCATCTAAAGACTTGGCACCTAACTGAGTCTTGATGAAGGTGCAAGTGGGAAGGCGTGGAACAAGAGGAAAGGAGCAATTGCTAGGAAGAGCCGAGATGTGGAAAGGGTAAAAACTGATGAAAACTGAGTGGTCACTGAAGCATCTGATGACCACGGTGTCTCACTGGTCCTGTCAGGCTCCTGAGAAGCTGAACAATCATGCATTTTGATGTAAATAAAAAAACTGAGTGTGATTGGTTGATTTTAGGTAGGAAAGGAATATGCTCACGGTGGGTGGGTGGTGCTTTACAAAGAGCCCTCTAGCAGTAGTGTGGACTCAGATAGGAGGGAGGTAAAGTCAGAGGAAGTAACAGGAAGACTCTTCAAAGATATTGGGGAGAAATATGGCTGACCTGCTGGGTCTAAGTTTCTGGCAGTCTATCTGGAGAGAAAGTGAAAGGATCAGGAGTGAATGAGGATGGAGAACCAAACTGCCAAGCCTTGAAGTGTGCTTTTCCTTCTTGTGTTATCGCCCTCTCTTTTCTTTAGATAATTACTATTTGTCCTTTGTCATTCAATTTAAAGATTGCCTCTGGCAAGTTTTCTCTGCCTCTCTCGCCTCAATCTGATTAGGATACCCCTTCCTTTAAGCTCTCATTGAATATCCTATGTAGCCTCGGCAACACTAAATTATAAGCAATTTGAGAGCAAAAATAATGCCTGATTCAACCCAGCAAAACGTTAGCGGAGTATCTGGCACCTGGCGTACACTCTGAGAGTATTACCTATATGGATGAATAGATGAGTGACTAAATGACTGCTTAGAAATGAGAATTTTAAGAAAAGGAATTGTTTAGTGAGATTCTCAGATTTCTGCTTGGACAAAAAAAGAAAATGGTGGGAGCATCACTGAGATGTGGAAGAGGGGAAGAAACCAGTTGGGAGAATAGTTTGGGAAAGGTGACAATGATGACATCTATTCAGGACTGGTTGGATTTGAGTGGCTTAGGAGAAGAACTCATAAAAGTACTCTGGCATGAGGTCAAGAGTGGCGACTAAGCAGTGGATAGGTAAGTGGTAGTTAAAAATGTCATGCAGTTTAGTCATCCAGGAACACCGTGTGCGTTGAGAATATAAAGTGTCTAACAGAGAACCCTGAGGATCACCAACATATGGTGCTTGGCTGGAGAAGCACTCCTAGAGGCCTAGGAGGGATTTGTAGACATTAACAAAGTAGTTTGGAGAAGTATTGCTGTAGAAGACAAGAGAGGAATAAGTCTCAGGAATTAGCATTTTCAAATATTTCCAAAATGACAGGTATCATAGGGGGTTGAAAATGATCAATTCATGTGTGTGTGTGTATGTGTGTGTGTGTGTTATTTTTGTTTGTTTGTTTTTAGTGCTAGGGATGGACTTCAGGGCCTCACACATAGTAGGCAAGTGCTCTATCACTGAGTCATGCCTCCAGCAGCCCCTAAGTGTGTTTTTTGTCATTGGGGGATGTTGGAGATGCTACAGAGTGGGTGATGGAATGAGAAATGGAATCATTAGAGTCAGTGAGTATAATACCCTCCTCTAAAGAGCTTGTTTGTGAAAAAAGAGAATGGATGGCATAGAAAATACTGAAAGGTGAGAAATCAGCTTTTGAGTTGGGGATGCTAACTTTTTAAATGGGAAAAAATAAACAATATTACATCTTGAGAAGAAGTAGTGATTTAAGAGTAACATTATACAATTTTCCTATGTACGTATGAATACACACAGTGAATCTTCCCAACATGTCCAGCCACAAGAAATTAGTTAAAAAGTAGCTATAGATAAATGGCAGAAAGATCAATATAGGGAAAGGAGTAGGGAGTGGGGAGAAGGAAGGGGAAGGGGGGTGCTGACTCAGAATAAGATATATTCCATGCTTATATAATTATATCAAAACAGAGTCTACTGTCATATATAACTAAAAAGAACCAAGAAAATATAAAAAGAGGTAACATTGATAAATAGGTGGAGATGTTTCCTGGAATAAGGCTTAGGGTTGAATGAGCTCAAGAGTCCCAAAGGATGGATCACCATTGTCCGAGGCAGAGTCACATCTCCTCTGAGATTAAAGGGAGATGAAAGGGTGAAAACACACCTGTATTTGAGTTAAGTGGGCAATTCATCCATACCTTATTTCTTCCATTTCTCTGGTAAGTAGACAGCAAGATCATCTGCAGAGAGTGAATGGGATAGAGGTGATAAAGAGAATTCTAAATGCTGACTTTGGGACTGGCTTCTCCAGTAACTCAACATGAAACTAGACAGAGAGGAAAAGTCATCCTGTAGCTGTGCAGATTTTGCTGAAGATGAAAAAGAATGTATCTGTTGTGCAGCAATTTTCACAGTTACACGATTTGCTTAGCATCCGGAAATAGCTTGGGTCTACCTAAAATTAAAATTGCAGATAATTACAGAGATGCAAATTGGCATGAACTGGGTACATACGTGAATTTCTAACCTCAGATCCATGATTCATGGTCCATGTGCAACTTTGGGAGTAGACAGCTTGTGGACTCCTAGAAAAGAATACAAAAATTTGTATATCTAGGGACTTTTATGGAGAGAGAGTTCATTCTTCGTTTTCACTTCACTTTCAAGATGTCTTTGATCAAAGTTTTAATATTAAAAGATTGAATGAGGAATATGATAGTTGTGGATGAATGAGTGATACTCAAAAGATGATGAAAGAATGAGGATGTGATTCCTTTGGGTTACGATATTCCTTTGGATTACTTATGTTAAAACATATGTGCATCACACACATGCACACATACCTGAAAAAGGACTAAATAGCCAGAATATATAAAGAACTCTCAAAACTTAATAACAAGAAACAAATCACCCCAATTGGCAAAATATTTGAACTGAATGGCAAATGATCACATTAACTGCATTAGCCATTCGAGAAATTCAGATTGTAACTAGAAAGAAATACTACTACACAATTATTAGAATAGCTCAAGTAAAAAAGAAAAATAGACAAGAATGTCAATATACCATGTCAGTGAGGATGCAGTGAAACTGGAATACTAACACTATTCTAGGCTGCTCAGTATTCACCAAAGAGAAATAGAGAGAGTGCTCTGAGACAAAAGGGAATTTTAGGGGGTGATGGAAATACTCTACGTCTTGATTATTTTGGTGGTGATAAGACAATAATTATTAAAACTCTTCAAAATGGATAAAACTGTTCACATTAAAGTTAAAATTATTTTTGTTGTATGTGACATATATCTCAAAATATGTAGTGCAAAATTCTATGGAAAAAAGTGCTCTGAAGGGGAATGATAGGGCCGTGTGTAGATGATTTTGAACTATTCTCAGCATCACCTTTCACACAGAGTGTTTTTTCTTTGATGCAATCTCTTCTCCAATTACAGATGCAAAGCACAGAAGGCTCTAAGTGTTTCATGGAGAAGAGCTTCTGGGAGAAGAATCTTCATGTGGTAACAGCAGGAGGAAAAAACCCTACTGTCAAGATGAAAATCAATGGAAAACATCTGGGCCCTCCCCCAACTAGAGTCCTTTCCCCCAATTTATTTTCTAGTAAGACTTTGATTTTTATTAAGAATGGACTCCATTGCCTTCCATCATTAAGCCCAAACACAAACTTGTTCCCCAGAGAGCGGCAATCACGTTAGTTCCTCACATTCCTGTTTTGCCTTAGAGAACAACAGTGCAGATGAGCATGTTAGATCTCTGTTCATTGATTAAAGCCAGCCTTGCTAGGGATACATACAGAAAAGGGGCATTTCCTTAAATCAATACAGAAGAGCTTCCATTTCCTGAGGACCAAGCAAAGGGATGACACAGAACTACCAGGGTTTGCCCAAGCATCACAAAGCACCAGGGACCTGGATATGTGGGGGGGGGGTGCAAAAATATATGGGTGGCAAACAAGAGAAAGTGAAATTGAGGATGGGAAAGGGCCAAGCAGGAAATAAGAGCAGCTTTAAGCTCCTCAAAACTTTCACAAGAAGCACGTGTAATGAACTGTTCCATCTTTATCTTCAGATTTGAATTAAAACAAATCAAGTTGAGTTGAATTGAGTGGTCTCAACTCAAGATCAAAGAGACAACTCTGTGACATGGTGTCCGGAAGACGAGGTGTCACTTAAGGGAACTCAAGGACCCACCCGAAAAGCATCTATGAGATCAGGGCATCAATACATATTGTTGATAGTGAAGACAAGGTGCCCTGTGGACTCCAAGGTTTCCTCTTACCCTCACATATCTCCTCTTATTCCAAAATGCTTACAGGATAGTCCCTGGCCAACAGCTGGCGTGCTCTGTGAAGAATTTCTACATAAAACAAGTAGCAGAGAGAACTGCAGTTAACCCAGGGGAACTTACCCGTGCGATAGTTGAAGGGTAAGTCCCTCCCTAGAAGCAAGAGCTGCTATTAAATAAGACACAACTGCTTTGAGCTTAGTTTGCTGGAAGGAAGTGACGAGGGACAGGGAGAGGGTGAATTTAGTCAGAAATATGGAAATTAAACAGATGCCAGAGTAAAGAGGATACCTGGTCAAATTTTTTTCCCAAAAAATATATTGGAGGGAGAACAAATTTTACCAATATCATAGGTAAAGAAGAAGATAATCCAAGTTAAACTTAGATTATTAAAACTTTACTGCCGATTGAGAAAAAATTGACTTGGATATAACAAGGATCTGTGTTTAGGAAAGGTAAAACCTAGTGCAGACTGCTGGGGGACAAAAGCAGGTGAGTTCCCACCAGTGAGGACCAGCCCAATACAGCCATTGATAAGATGGAAATCCGGGGTGGACTAGACCCACAACCAGCAAGAGGTTTTCATCAATTCCTTAGGAGGGAACAATTAGGAATTAAAATGAGAGTTGTATTTACATACAATTTGACTATGCTAAATATAGTTTTGTTTCCATTATACTTATAGCTAAACAAGCCAGTGTTTCTATTTTGTTAGTTGTCCTGGCAAATGAATGATCACAGACTCCAATCAAGTAATTGAATGAGTGTTCAATAGAGAAAATGATGTCAAAGATACAGGAAGGAGTCAGGAAATAGAGCAGTGAAGTAGTGCTTCACCAGTCACCCATCACTATCTCTAGGAATAAAGGGCAGAGAGAAAAAACAGTCACCGGAAGCAAAGAAGGGAAACAGTCAATGTGGGCCACTCATAGGCCATCTCATCTTCTGATGAGACTCTAGCAGGTGGAGCACCATGAATCCATGGGAGAGTGAGGAAGGCAGCAAAACTTTGTCTCCTTTCTCCTTGCTTCTTTCCAGTGGTCCCATTGGCTACCTCCAACAGAAGCCAGAGCCCACGGAACTCCATTGCTGTAGGGTGGATAGGTTAGCCTCTCAAGGCAAAGGTGAGGGGGGGAGGAAGAGAGGTGAGCAAAGGCCCAGAGACAAGATTGCCTGCAGTCCAATCCCCCAGGCCCTCAGCAACCATGCTGGCCTGCAGGCAGCAAAAACTTACGACTTAATGTTGCTAGTGTATCATGGGGTGACGCCAGTTCCTTCATTCTTCTACATGAAATTTAAATATTAGTCAATGGTTATGGTGTAAATTAGTGGAAAACAAATAATCATGACATTTAGCTTTCTTAATCTTGCTTTAATTGCTGGTGTGAGGCCTACTTTGCTAATCATGACTACCATCTTCTGCCACTTACTCAGGTTCCTGGTGCCTTCTGCCTGTACCTGGCTGGATAGGTGGTGGCCTGAACCTTTATTCCCACAGGTCTGTGTCCTTACTGTTGTTGCTTTTGGAGGGGATGTAAGCAGATTCAATTTTTAATCATAAATTCTGTTGGGTAAAAGGCTAATAAGAAGTCTCCTTGAGGGCCTCCTGTGTTGCAAGCATAGTCCCCCTTGTGCTCACTGATGGCAGCAATCACCCTCATAGAGTTGTCGCCTGGCATTGATCCCGTCAGGCCAGGATCAGTCATGCAGGTAGGAACGTCCCCCTTCTCTGCCTGTTGGTGCATCTCCACAAGGAACCACGCATGGCTGAGGAGGAATCAGCTTGAATTTCAAGGGAGTCAGCGGGTAGCATCTTGTTGCCAGGTGTTTCTCCTTTGGCATTAGGATCTCCAAATACATAAGCTTTCATAGAGCTAAACCAGGGAATGTCATTAGTATTACCTGCCCATTGTTGCATTGCCCTTGTCTTAAAATGCGCCACCTGGTTGGAGGTCCTATTCTGAGGGGTACTGTTTCCAGGCATGTGTCATAAAGTTCCACAGACTGAGAGGTTTAGAAAACAGAAACTCATTTTCCCACAGATCTAACAGTCCAAAGTCCAAGGTCAGATGTGGCAGTGCCATGCTTCCTGGGAATTCTGTGGGAAAGGATTGTTCTAGGCCTCTCTCCTAGCTTCTGGTGGTTCATGGCTTATGTCAACAGGCCTCCCATCTCCACACTGTATTCTCCCTGTGCGTGTGTGTGTGTGCGCGCGCGGACCTGTGTGTGTGTCTCCTTCCATGCACAAATTAGTCTTTTTCTATAAGGACCTAAGATACATTGTATAAATGGCTAACCATGCACCTGTGTGACTTCGTCTTACTCAACTGATTGTATCTGCTATGACCCTATTTCCAAATAAGGTTATACTCTGAGACATGGTTGGTAGATCAAGACTTCAGCATATGAATTTTAAGGGATATAATACAATTCAGCCCATGACAGGTGCCATAACAATCAATAAGCCTATTTCTCCTTCCACACCAAGTGTTTGAGTCGATCACCTGAAGTACCCCTGAAAGAATGACTTTTTCGTAGCAAAATGGAAGGTCTCCATCACAGTTACTACTCCATGAGGTCAGAGCATCTTAAATGACCACTTCTGCTATCTTTACGAGGTCCTGAATTACAGGATTCTTTCAAGTGCTCATTGTATATAAATGCCAAGATTGAGGACCACTTACTCAGGTTCCTGGTGCCTTCTGCCTGTACCTGGCTGGATAGGTGGGCTATAAGTAGCCCACTATATAATTTTTTTTCTTTCTGCCTGTGTTATGTTCTGTGTTGTTCTGTGTTACATGCATTTCTTATAAAAGTTGAAAATCTTGCTGAAGCAGTTCTGTACAGATGAAAATAGACTCAAATGAAAAACAACTTTGTTTTTGATTAGATCCACTCTTTCAGTATAAGCACTGATATATATCTTGGTAGATATAGATTTTGCATTGGGGACAATTCTAGGACTAGCTCCTCAAAGGCTTTATGTTTTTATTATCGGCTCTGTAATCATGTTTAACTTTAATTAATTTATCTTATACCAGTTTATATTCATGTGCACACACATATACCCGTGCTCACATAGGACATAAGCAACTATTTGTGTGAAATATGATTTGCGTGACAATAAGAGATTCTTTTTGTCTTGGAGTCAATCTCCCTTTATCCCACTTTGAATTCTAGAATTGTCACTAATGTGCCAGGCAAAAATCCTTCTTGCTACAATATTCTGTGCAGTAGTCATTTGTTCTAATAAAATGTTTCCTTGGACTAAATATCTCTGATGCAGTAAAAATATGACAGGCTTGAGGATAGGGAAATACAGGCATCATCTCAAGTTCTACCCCTAAATGTCCCTGTAGAAGTGACAAACTATATCTATGGGTAAAAAGAATGGTTACTGATATTTGATCCAAAGAATCACATGGAATACTTGTGAAATGATAGTTTTACTGGCCCATTCCATACCAATCACTATGAAATCTCTGAAGTAGGGGTCAGCAGGGATTTTTATACTCACATTAACCCCCAAACCCAACTTACATTTTTATAAACTCCTGACTTGGGGAAGTGCTCTCTCAGGTTATTTTTATAGTCTATTCCTGTTCTAATTATGGGTGGAAACTAAATAAAGGCCACTATACTTATTAACCCATCATATCAAGTTATTCTTTTCAGTTTTCTTGTGATCATCAGGTAGAAGGATGTCCTGGGGATGGGGCCCAGGATGGGAACTTCTGATGAGTTAACAGTTTGGTGCAGCAGGAGGCCCAGATGTCAGGTGCAACCAGGGAAGCTTGGATGACTTGAGGACAGAATGAGGGCCTTAGGGATAAATTTGGGGATAAGAAAAAAAACCTGAATGTGTATATTATCTATAAGTGTGTGTGTGTGTGTGTGTGTGTGTGTGTGTGTATGAAACAGACTAAGTACCCAAATTATAGAGACATTTATAGAAATTGCTAAAAATGATAGTGCAGATCTATATTTATTGAAATGGAAAGATGCACATGATGGATTTCTAAGTGAAAATTGTGTTTCACTTTGGAAAAAAGAAATATTCCCTTGGAATTTGGAGACTATGCATTTGAAGTCTGGCTGAGTTTCTTAAGTGGTGGGAGTAGTTAATTTTTCTGCCCTCTTATTTCCCTTTTAATATGAACTAATTTTTTTTTTTTTACAATGGGAATTCAATAGTTTACGATTGGAAAGAGCAATAAAGCTATTTCCATTCTGACAATAAAATGTTGTGCTGGTTGCATGTGGATGGCAGTTGTTTTTGGACATATGAAGGACCCAACAGAGCCAGTGTGAGGGGGAGTTGGGTAAAAAACAATGACGATCCAGGAAAGAGCAGAGGGAAGAAGAGCTATTCCAGGAAAAGCTTCAATCTCCCAGGTTCTTATCAGCTTGCTCTCTGGCCCCCCAGGTGTGTGCAGCACTTTTTGCCTTCCTGGGGCTAGTAAGCTACCTGTGGGTCACTACAGCCAGGATCATTGTAGTGGTCAGGCCACACTGGATTGTTTAAGATTTAACTCCTTTGTTTCTAGCTGCCAGCCTTCAAGTTTGCCTGGGGTTACCTGCTCCACAGACCAATGTATTTATTTCTGATGCGCAACCCAGGATTGCAGGGTTGACTAGCAGCTTAGAGGGAAGCAAGGGAATGGAGTCTATTTATAGCAGACAGCAACAAAGGTTTCCTTTCTTTTCTTTACCTCGAATTGTATTTCTCTGAAACTCTGCCCATGTTGCACAGAAATCAAAAGGGCAAAAGAACAAGTTCCTCAGAGCTGGTTGCAAAGTTCCAGGGCTCTGTTTTTAGAGCAAATCTGCCAGCTTCAGAGGAGGTTGCAGCCACCCTCGGATTCTAAATCAGCTTGATGGCGGTGCAAATAGATGCAAATGAGGGTCAAATCAATTTCCATAATGAACAGCACAGGCAAAGCGGACTCCTCTCCACCTGACTCAAAATTACTAGAAAATCCAATGAGGGCAAGAAAAAGAAACAAAGAAAGAAAGGGAATGCTAAGTGACTAGAAAACTGTTGCTCCTTGGATCTTGAAAATGGAAATTGTAAGGTCCAAGAATGATTTCGGATTTTGTTCTGGAAGCTTCCATAGAAATGGCTAATTCTAATGCAGATCCTCTGGAGCTTTTGGTTGTGACCAGGCCTCCTTTTGCTTCCTCTATTATGTTTTTCTTTCCCTGTTCCTGAGCTCCATGTAGTACCACACTGGTTGGCCTTTGACAGCCTCTAGCTTTTTAGCAACTTTGTTGAGGTGGAATTCATCTGGCATAAAATTCACTATTTTAAAGTGTGCAATTCAGTGGTTTTAGTATATCATAAAGCTATACAACCATTACCACTATTGAATTTTGAAACTTCCATCACTTCCCAACAGAAATCCATACCCATTAGCAATCACTTCCCATCCTCCTTCCTCTATGTTTTTGGCAACCACTAATCTAACTTTCTGTCTCTGTGGCTTTGCCTGTTCTGGAGGCTGCATATAAATGGAACCATGGTCTATGTGGCCCTTCGTGCCTGTGCTTTCATTCTGCCTCCTATTTTCAACATGCACCCATGTGGTGGCACACATCAGTACTTCATACCTCCTTATGGTGGCTTGGCCTCTTTCAGCATAATCCACATGAGGGATATAAATCTTTGTGTCTCAGAGGAATGCAGTGAACTCTGCTTATTTTGCTGAAAACCACATGGAGTGGGAGGTATCAGTAACATGGCTTAACCTTATGACTTGTACATTTGGTCTTTGCCCACTGTTCATTTCCCTGTATTTTAGAAATTAGCTTCATGTCATTCAACTGATGCTGAGCTGAGCTGGGCTTATATTAATCATTAACAGGTGTTTCAATAAGCCACAATGCAGACATTGGATTCCAAAAAGTATTTTGATACTTCTGGCACAGCCTACGTCTTCGCATATGGTTGACTTGCTTCTTCAAGGGAGATGAGATTCGCTAGAAGTATGATACATATGGGCCATTGACTGAACCATCTGAGGAATTTTTAATTGGTGTGAATATGGAATGTAATAATTTATATGAATCCATTGCTTTTAAATGCTTAAGTACATGGAGAGAACTAATTGAATGGGCTTTATTTACTGGAAGGCCCTCAATGCCTTTGGATATCTCCAAATTTCTTCATATAAAGCTATACTTCCATGAAAATCATTAAGATGCATTTTTGAAATGCCTCTCTTGTGCATACCCATACTTTGAAGAACTATGGTTTCCTACAATTATCATGCACAATAAGCCTTCTGCTCTGGACCATTCAGTCGATAGAACATCACACTTATCAGGCAATACACAGGTAGAATAAAAATTGAAGCTCTTGATTATGCCTCCAAGGCTGTGCTTAAATCTGTTGGAGGACAGAGGAATCAAGTTCAGCCTTAAAAATGTTTTCATTGCTGGGATTAAATATTACAGAGCATGTTTGACAAGTGGGCGAAAAGAACATACCAGAAATCTATTTTTCTACAAAGTGCTAACAAAGGAGAAACCTCCTGAGAAAGAACTCATTTATTCCAGGGCTGCTCTGGGATCTCAATCTGGAGAGATGAGTTCTCTTAAAGTCTGTGTAGAGAGAATTCCAGAGGGTCACCACAGTTGTGAAATGGACTCAGATCTGGACAAGCAATTCCATCTTTCATATTAGTGTCATATTATGGAGAGGATGCCAAATTAATGTGGGTTTTTTTTTGTTTTTCAAGATAAAAGATGACACATCAAAAAGAGTTGGCTCTTGTGTTAGGCCATTGGGTCTGTTCTCAGCCACACAAGGGTTCAGGTTCACTATGCATGGAACTTGGGTAGGGAAGTTTGAGGAATATTTGCAATAGTGATTTTCTTTTCTAACACAAGAGAGAAGTAAACGAATTGGCTGGGTGTAGCAATTTGACTCTGTCACTCTACAGGAAATAAGAGATTTTACTAGAACTCTTTCAATCGTTCAGATTGCACCCCAACCTACAGCCTTAATGTCCACCTTCCCAACACTAAACTCTGTCAAGTATTTGAACACAAGACCTATAGGTTATAGTTGTGCCTATGCCACAAGCACAGCACAACAGACAGTGATAGATCATTCTCTTCACAATAGCATATAACCCAGTGTTGTCATACATCAGGAACACTGTGGAGCGGGAGGCAGGAAGTTTGGGGTAGCTCTATCTAGAGCAACAGTGTGAGGGTAGAAGGGTGGTAGGGATTTGAAAGGGTAGGGAGACTACCTTGTGAGCACCCATGGGATTAATAGAGAAGAGTCACACAGCTTCCTCGGTGGAACTGCTGTGGGCATAGCCAGTCTATGCCAAAAGCTATTGTCCCCTTTCCTATTGTCCTTATGTGGCAAAGGTTGGTGTATCATCTTCACAGACACATGGGAGAATCATCAGCATAGGTGAGAGACATGAGCAGGGTTCTGGAAGTCTGCAATAGCAAATTTGGGTGAAAGCCAAAAAAATAAATAAATAATAATAATGACTGGAACCATAAAAATAACAGCTATTGAATATACTGTGTGCTAGGCTATTGAATATACTGTGTGCTAGGCTCTATGCCAAGTGCTTGCATTTAGTGTTTCTTTCAGTCCTCACAATAACTCTTTGAATTAAATACATTAATTACATCCATAATACAGTCAAG